ACCCCTAAACCCTAGACCCTAGACCACCGTCTGCACTTTCGGGCTCCGAGGTCCTAGGCGACTTGTAGCGAAGACTGAGCAAAAAAAGGCGGCACCGAAACGTTCAACCCCAAGAAGCCAGAGACAGCCTGCTAAGCTACAATATGTTACACTGTCATATGCCATAATAATGGATAAACAAATAAACAAATAAATAAATACATAAAAAATAAATAAATATATATATACATATATATATATACATGTATATATATATATATTTATAATGTACTGTAACATACGTTAATATGCTAGCCACGCACCGAATCCGGGAGGTCTAAGCCCAACTCCACTACGACAGGTTGTTTGCGAAGCCCGCGACAGAGAGATGTGAGGGCCTAGACGCGTGAAAGCTTGAGCCGTCCTCGAAAAACGTGCGAATATGGTATATTATGGTATATAATATAAAACGTGTCTTTTTGGTTTGCCTCTCTTCCTTTTGAATCCTACCTTTGAATCCTATGTGTGTGTTTATGCACTATATGCATGTCTGTCTGTCTGTCTGTCTGTCTGTTTTTTTTCTTTCATGTTTTGGCTTTTGTCCAGAAGGTATGCGTGTATGCATGTATATCCTTCTGTCGGTGTGTCCTTCCACTTGTCCGTGCATCCGTTTGTCTGTCTGTCTGCCTGTATCTTGTCCGCCTGTTGCTATTCAAGTTAGGGTTTGTGACTGCATACATAAATAAATGGGCAGACCTGGCTATTAGACGAGGTTTGGGATTTCGGTTCAACTATGTATGCGTTTTGTATATGTATACAAATAAAGATATATATGTATATATACACACATGAAATTATATTGTAGTGTACGTACTGTACGTGTGTATATATATACACATACATACATACATACATACATACATACATACAATGTGTGATAGACATATGTACATATGCAATGTATGTATGTATGTATGTATGTATGTGCGTACGTACGTATGTATGTATACCCACACGACATGGGTTGGGGGGTTTTGAGTTTAGGGTTCGGCAGATCCTACGGAGCTTGGTCGTCTGCAAGCAGACCTTCAAGGCCGCAGCCCGGCTGGTAGGATACGACCTTCTCAAGCTTTCGCGGCGTGTGATAATGGTTGGGAGAACGCCTCCCTCACCCGTCTTCTCATGCATGATGCTCCGAGCTTCGGCCTCGCAAAAATTGGGCTTCGAAAAGTCAGCATGTAATGGAGTGAAGATGACTGAACCTAGACACTGCGGCCTAAAGCCCTGAATGAAGTAACTCTTAATGTCCCAAGCTGGCTTTAAGCTATCTTGTTCCGTTCTCTTCATGGGTTCAGTCGTGGTTTCTTGGATTCAAAGGGTCCTTCTGTGGAACGGTTTCGAGTTTTCTCCGAACCCTAAGGCATACACTATTCGGGGATGCAAGTTCTAGCCCTAAACCCTACACCCCTCGCCCCTAAACCCTAAAATTTTAAAAGCTTGAGCATCAGCAAGAGACTCTCCTAGATTCGGACGGCACTTGCAGGCTGTGCAAAAGTCTGGTGGCTCTGGTGTCCACCACTGCACGTCCAAAGCTGAAGCTGTTCCGAGGGGCCCTGCATCTTCTCGAAATGAGGGTTTAGGGCTCTTGCTCCTCAGCTGCCATAGGCTCAAGATATGTCTGCAGCTTTTCAAAGGATCTCGAAAGGAAGCTTTCTGAACCCTAAACCCTAAACCGTGCAAAAAACCCTAAACCCTGAACCATCCTAAACCCGGCAAAACTCTCAGAACCCCAAGCTTTAGGAGGTGAATCCCTACGTGCGCAGTGACCAGGTTCATCTGCAATCCGGATGCCTTGGATACTTCCTAGGCCGGGCAAGCATTGCCTGTTAAGTTTATTGGATTTCGAGTCCCAACCCCTAAACCCCTAAACCCCTAAACCCCTAACCCCCCAAACCCCTAAACCCCTAACCCCCAAACCCTAAACCCTAAACCCTAAACCCCTAGAAGGATTCCTTTCAAGGAGCCCTAGGGAAGGGAAGGAACCCTAGAAGGGTTCTTTTTGCTTTTGGGGGTTGACCCTTGGAGGTTCCCTGAAAAGAAAGGGAACCCTTTAAAGAACCCTTTCAAGGAACCCTTATAAAGGAACCTCTAAAAGGAGCCTGGTTTGGGGTTTTAGGGTTCTAGGGTCTAAGGGTTTTAGGGTTTTGGGGATTTGGGGTTTGTAAGGCGTGTGTGATTGGGTGCGATTTCGAGGCTATAACCTTGCGACAGCTGCACGTCTCACCCAACTACAACCTAGGTCCCAGGTAACTTCTTAGTTGGGGCACCAGAACTGGCGAATGCATGCAGGCAGGTCTTGATCGGATTCTAGGTGTAGGTACCCCGAAGCTGCCACGGCCTGTAAACAGAGCTGTAGGGATTTAGCGGCTGTGACACGCTTGAGAAAGCCAAGTTTGCCCTTGAATTCTGCAGCATGATACCTGTATCACGAACCCCTAAGCCCCTGAACCCTAAACCCCGAAACTCTAAGCCCTAACTCTAACCTCGAAGCCGTTAGTAATCCCCAAGCCCCAAAACGACCTTGATGAAGGCGTATTGGGCCGTTTTGAGTAGCAAGACGACGGAAGGATGTAGGGCCCCCTACCACGTAGGGGTTTAGGGTTTAGAGTTTAGGGTCCAGAGTTCTAGGGTTTAGGGTTTGAGGTTTAAGGTTTAGTAAGGGGTTAAGTTGAATCCTTAGGGGTTTGAGGTTTACTCTTTGGCTAAGGCAATGACGTCATAGTTTCGTTTTAGGCTTCATGTTTCTCAAGGGTTGTGTAAGACCGGGCTGGGTCAGCCCGTTTTGCAGTGATCGAGGAGACTACTAGGCCAGGTTCAGTGTGGCAACTGTTACTATATGGCAGGCTTACCTGGCGTCACGCGACTGTGGTCCTTCCCTCCCTGATCTGCCGAGGTGGGGTGAGGGCGTGTGCTGCCAGCCCTTTCTGCGGGTCGGAGCCTTGAATCCTAGACTCCCGCTTTCAACTCTCAGCCCATCAGCAAACAAATCCCAAAGGCCTGCATCTTTCGCAACACCCCAGGCTCCTATCCTCATGTGTGCGTCTTACTTCGCGCTGCGGTCCACGACTTTCGGCTTTGGGGCTTAGGGTTTAGGGGGATTAGGGTTTACGGGGATTCAAGTCTCTGGATGTCGGGTTTCGGGTGTAGGCGAATTGCGAGACTAGCAACGGAGCGAATTGAATGTAGCTTGAGCGCTGATGAAGAAACCCCTGCTTGTGCTGGAGCTGCTGACTGCTGGCTTCAAGCTTTGGCAGAGTCTGACAAGTAGCATTCTAACATATTTTCAACTCCATGTCCATGTGCCTCGCAAGCAAGGCAATGCACCTTGCCTGGTGCTTGGCCCTTATGGTCGCGGTGCCCGTGCAGGGCCTGCGACCAGCCATTGACAAGGCATGGACGACAGCCATGTCTGAGGCCACAAGCGAGCAAGACAAGGATCAGGGGATGACGGAAGGAGACAGCTGTTGCTGCCAAGCAGCTCTTGGGGATAGCCGGTTTCAGATGGATGGAGGTAGTTGCGAGATCCTGAAGCACGAGCACCCAAGCCGACCTCACTGGTTTTGGCCCGACGAGAAGCGATGTTGCTGGCCGCAGAATCAGCTCTTCTGCGTCATGCCGAACCTCCTTGACCTCTTGGGAGGTTTCGGCACCCATGGAGGGGTCGTAAGCGAGGAGACGTGGTGCCCCACGCGAAGTTCTCCCACGGGAACGGTGCGAGTTCCTGACCTGCAGGCTGCCAGGACGAAGCTCGAGTCCGAGCGTCGCATGACGAAGTCCGTCATCTTCATCGCGGCGAAGCTTGCGTGGCTAGGCGCCACCTTCTGGGAAGCTTTACATAAAATATTCCCCTTCTGGTTCCTATTAGAGAGCTACCTATGTTCATAAATGCTTTTCTTCTGGGCCCCAGAACTACACCCTTATGGTTCCTAGAATAGAAGTACCTCTGTTCATAAATACTTTCCAGCGCCTCAGAACTACAACCAAGGTGGGGTCTTGGAGGATCAGGCTTCGAGGGCAGCCACACTGCGGACGTGAAAGACATCATCGACCAAGCGAGGGACGCTCAAAGTGCCCGTGAATGCATGCCAGTAATTGAAGGAATATAGGAATATAGACCTTGAGTTATAGTAGCATCCCTAAGAATGTTTTTAAGGTACCCATTCCTTAATAAACGGGATGTTCCTTCAGGTGCCGTGACTGCCGTGGCGGGAGCAACGGCACCCACGGACGGAGTTCTCTCGGGTCCCGGTGGCGAATGCCCAGGGGGTGTTAGCTGGGATTACAAAGGCAGCAAGACCCTAAATGTCGGTTTGGGATATTTTTTCAAACGTCCTTCTTTTTGGTTCAGCTAATGTGGAGCTCTCTCTATATAGAACCCGAGCTATACGTCGCGCCGGGGGGGGGGGCTGTTGAAATCGACACC